ATACCGGTGAGGAAACAAGTGAGTTTCGGCCAACACTGGAGATGTGTGTGAAGATGCAGGCGCCCCTATAGGCCGAGGACGGCGATCACTGCCGCAAGCGCGCTGGGTTGTATGAAGAACGGCAGTGATCTTACACATACGTGTGAGTGCCCAGGGGAGAGGGGAGGGGGCATTTTGAAATGGCACGTGAAACGTGGTCTTGCTGTGGACTGGGGTTGTGTCAGGGGGCCGGCCTGGGATACGCAGGGCATGTGACCTATAGGACTTGGTGGATTGGATGCAGAAGATGAAAAACGGACTCACGGGTTTTGGGCGTGAATTCCAAATAGATGGTGTTGGGAAGGAGGCGGGGGAAACAGATTCAACGTTAGGGAAAGTCAGCTCTTTCTAGATACCTTCATGTTGGGGCAGCTATTGGAGACCTAATAGGAGGCCTTGACTGTGAAGTGAGAGACAGGAGACTGGGCCCAGGGTGGGGACTGAGGAAGAGATTTGATTTTGGGAATCAGACGAGCAGATGAGCTCACGTAAGGAAAAGGTACATAGGAGTAGCAGAGATTCCACTGTGTAGACAATGGCAACGCTATTTCTTGCTTTCCAATGCTTATGTCTTTTGCTTATTTTTGTAGCCTCACTGCACTTCTTAGGGTTTCAAAGGAAATGCTGAGTAAAAGGGGCTTCAGTAGGCACCCTGTTTATGCCTAATCATAAAGATAGCCTTGCAGTATGTGACCAATATTCTTATTTCCCAGAGAACTTGCCTTAGGTTGAGTTCTGTAGTCATATTTTCCTAACACTTTTTCTTTCTTTTTACTTTTAATTGTCAGTGGGTATTGAATTCTCTCTCAGCTGCTTTTTTTTAAATATCCATTGAAATGATAATAATATTTTTTCCTTTAATGTGATGATCTGTTTCTGGAATAATTTAAAGTTGGTCATTTATTTTTAAATACACCACTTTATTCATTTTGCTAATATATTTTATATCAGTTTTTCAACTGTTAATCATTAGATTAATGTATTAATTATCATTTCTCATGCTATCCTTGATGAGTTTTCTTTCGAGTCTATAAAAGCCCCCTAAAATGCGTTAGGGAGATGTCTTTCTCTTCCTATTGTCTGTAAAATATGGGCCCGCTGACAATTGTGTGCTTTTTGAATGTCTGTCATAAGCTGTTTGTGAAATACCACAGGCATTCCTCAGCTACTTTTGCTGCAAAGACTGAAATTTGTTAAGAGAATGAAAAGTAGGCATTTGAGAGTAATGATAATCATCAATTTAATAAGGTACCCGTTACTAATGGCTGATGTGCTTATGAGAATATAACAACCCTAAGGGATAGTTTCTCTTACTATCTTCATTTTACATTTTGAAGAACTCAAGCTTAGAGAGATTAAAAAGCCTGAGATTTGCAGTTAATATACAGTAGAACAAAGATTTTGACTGATGGTCTTATCTAGAATTTGTAATATTAACCTCTGTACTTTGACAAGTCTATTGTAGAGGACAAATTGCTGGAAGTATACTTTGTTTTTCTATGAGTCAATTTGAGTTTAGTTTATGTTACTTGAATCTCATCATAATTTTTAGTTTGCATGGAATCATATGCAGAAATCTCTTCTCAAAACTCTTATTTTACTCAAGATTTTATCCTGTCTTCGTGCTTCTAGTTCCTCGTCCCCCTCTTGGCGAAAGGAGGGGTTCATACCTTCTCCATCGCTGAAGGCATGACCATGTGACCCCTTCCCTGTGATTGAAGTGGAGATGGTTATTTTAATTAACAGTATAACAATTTATGTGATTATTCAAATGATAGTATAATGATTCAATAATTTAATAAATGCCTATGGTCATTTTGTGCAGGGGAAAAAGACCCTTAAATGATATGAACGGTAGATTTGCACAAAGTATAGTTGCTAGACTGCTACTTTATCTTTGCTTTCTAATAAGTCAAATTTTAAAGTTTCTCCTTTTTATCTATTAAAAACGTTCATCTATGTTCTGAAAATACAGCAGAGTTATGGTAAAAGTTCCACAAATTAGGGTGAATTAAAGAGGCTATTTAAATAAATGGAAATAACATATTTTATATCTTATGATAACTAGAGTCACACTATTTAATATCCATGGCGATACAAGGATAAAAATCCTAATATAATTACAAACATTATCAGTTACCTACTGCTGTGTAACAAATCACCGCAAAGTTCAGTGACTTCAACAGTCACCATTTTACTCTCCAAGTTCTGTGGCCCACATGGTCCTCGGGCTGCCTGGCAGGTTCGCTGGGAGCTGGAGAGGTGGGGTGGCTGGGGTGCGGGAGCCCCACTTTCCACGGGACTTTTTACCCCTGAAAAGCTAACTCAGGAGTGTCCACATGCTGCCTGGGCAGTGGGCCAACGAAGGGAGAGCAGAGCAGCGCCGTGCGCTGAGGGCAGGCTTCTGAAGCCATGTGTCACTCTAACTCATTCTCTTGGTTAAAGCCAGCCACAGGACAGCCCCTGTTCAGGGCCGGGTAAACGGAGTTCACCTCGCATGGGACAGGCTGCCAGGTCGTGCGGCCGTGGGACGGGCACAGGGAGGGGGCCCGTCGGTGGCCACTCTTGTACCAGTCCTTCCCACCAGCTATGTGACAGCACAAAGCCCTGCCCTCTGGATGGCAAACTCTGTCATCTTTTTAATCCCGGGCTGAGATGTAAATGTGTTATATTGGTCTCCGAGTCTCATACATCACCCCAAACTGTTCTTACGGCATTTTAACGCCATTAGGGCGCTTTCATTTTTTCGTAAAGAGTTCCTCCAAGATGTAGTCTCAGCCACAAAGTAATACAGGTGAAAAGAAACTTCAGCAGATGACGGGAGAGAGAAAGCGTGAGGCGAACTGTTGGGATAGAATTTAAAAATATTCCATTCATTTTGATGAGCTTAATCAAAATAATGGCAAAAGAAGAATGTGAAAGAGAATCAGTACAAAGAGCCTTTGTAATTTTCTGATTGTTAAGTAAATTATTTCAGTGATTTTAACCTATCTGTTGTGAGCAAATCGATGGGTTGCTAAAGAAGCGACGATAAACTAAAGTCTGTTCTGAGTTTTAGTTATCAACACGTTTAAAATTAAAGTTGTCTCCCCAAACTAGATATCGTTTTAAGATCCACATTTAGTATCCATTTACCGGGCCCCTAACATGTTGCAGACATTAGTTATTTAGTCCTTATTGCTAATCCTGACCAGTGGAATAGAAACGTCATGCATATTACAGCCCTTTAACAGGAGAGGAGAGGAAGGCACAGAATATGATTTGCCTGCCTGACTCCAGAGTGGTGGCATTCAGGTTCAAGTTCATATTTTTAGGATTTGTCCTAGTGCTATGTCTTTACTGCCTTCCTAAAAATCCTACCATAGCAAGGCATTATCAATATGATAAAAATTTGCAAAAATATCCCTTTAGCCAAATAATAATAAAAATAAGGCAGCTTAGTTACAAAGTTCTTTTAGTTTAAAAAAAAAAAAAAGGACATTTCCTAAAGCCTAATTACATCTCTATGAGGTAATAGATGGAATACTTTAACTTTACAAAGTCTTCCTCAAAGAAGGTACTGTTATTTTTAATTTTCAGTTTAGGAAACAGGCTTAGAGAACCATTTAAATCAGAATCTCCTAAATTAGTACTTTAAAAAAAATTTACCAAAAAGATACTAAAATGCAGCCAGAGTTGAGAGCCATCAGTTTAAATCACATGCTATACATTTTTAGAAAAAATGGCATCATTAGTCACAAAGCTAAAGGATAAAAACAAATTAAACAGCGATAATGTCATGGTTTTCTCATTACCATTTAAAAGTGTTTATAATTTTTTATTTAAATAGTATATAAGGTAATCATTTTAAGATAAGCGAACAGCTCTTTTGAAGGAAATATATTTTGATAACACATAGTTTAAATGATTTACATTTAATGACTTTTGAAGCTTTAGGCTATTCAGGTGAAACAGAATGTTAACACAAACAAGGTACAGACGCATAGACAGAGAACGGCCTGAGAGCTGGCAGAGGGGAGGGCAGGTGGGAGCTGGGTGAGAAGAGGGGACAAATTATCCCCCCAAAAACCAAAACTCACAGGCAGACAACAGTGTGGCGACGACCTGAGGGAAAGGGGGTGGGGGAGGGAGAAGAGGGTAAAGGGGGACGTCACAAATGGTGACGGAGGGAGACGTGACTTGGGGCGGTGAACAAATACAATGTATAAATGATGGACTGTAGAATCGTACACCTGACCTATATAACTTTATTAACCTATGTCATCCCAATAAATTCAATAAAAATTTCAAAAAATAACACAATAATTAAAAAATAATAATACAAGAATTTTAACAATGCCTATTACTCCCTTGATCACAATTACTTCCTACAGAAGTATTCAAGAAAAAAAATAAAGTACCGTTTTACTGTTTAAGTTTCTAAAGTATAATCTCATGTGAATAATTATTTTAAAAAGTGTCTCCAAAAAAAAACTCATGTGTCTTTTTCTAGAATCATTCTCAAAATCTACCCCCAAATCAAATTTATTTAAATATACTTGAATATACTTTAATATATTACTGAATTGTATTGTAAGTTTATATGTGTATTAAATAATCTATAGCAAGATCTTATCTATGTGGAAATGTAATTATAAATTAATAGATATAACACTCGAAGCTTGTGTTTATATTATGCACAAGTTACCACTGTTAATCGAGTGAGGCTTAACAAGTGTACAGCAACATCAGTTGCTAAAATCGCCAAATTATATGACAAAGTAAGATTCACCCCAAATCATTATCTTGTCACATTTTAATGTGACTAAATTCTCTCACAACAAGCCGATGATAAAAAGAAAACCTTCTGTTCAGTAGCGACATGAATGTAATAAGTTGCCACTAACTTCAAAGGCGGAATTCTCACAATCACAATGGGAGTTAGAGAAAATTCAAAGGATCTTATTTTAGACTAAACTTACCAGCAAATTTGATATGAAATTTATTTTCAGGCTTTAATATCTGGACGTACAAAGGGCAGTTTGGAGCAAAATCTTTTACAGCCCACGCTCTCAAAATTGTTTGGTGGTCCTGAAATGAAAAAAACAACAAAATATCATGGAAAATGTATAAAGGTGCTGCATGATCAAACTAGGCACCTGGACCAAGCCCTCATCCACGATATAGTCTCTACAAAAAGATAAAGCAAAATAAGATGACCTAGGTTAAAAAAAAAACCCCAAAAACAATATGCTTATGAACCTTTAGTGAATCAAAGAGCAGCGTTCCGTGAAATTAACACCGTTTTGGATTTAATATCCTGGTAGGATTTAAGCCAAGCCCGGGGGAAGCGGCGGGGAGTGGGCTGTGGGGACTGGGGAAGCCACTTCTCTGTGGGAAAGAATGTTTGCAGCAGCAACTAAGCCGGGCCCCGCCTAAGACGCGGCATCTGACACAGAGCAGACTCAGGACTGAGCAGCCCAGGGGCCTGCAATGTTGGATTCTACTTAGCAGAGCGCAACATTTTCCTGGGGTCTATGCTGTTTTTCTTTTCTTTTTTTAATTTTTTTTAATTGATTATGCTCTTACAGCTGCCCCCATGTTCCCCTCTTCACCCCTCGCCACCCAGCACCCCCTGCTCCGTTAGGCCGACCCCGCACCCTCGTCATGTCCATGGGTCATGCGTGTAAGTTCTAACTGGATCAGGTGCCCACACATGTAAGGATGACCAATGGTGGATGTAAGCGGTAGCCGACGCCTGTGCCCAGACGCGAGCACACTAGCAGCAGCCTGCCCTCGTGTTGTAACTAAGTCACTGAAAGTCTCCCTGTCCAAGGGCCATAGACACTTCTATGAAGCTTCACTCCCATGGACATGGCACAGCTGACCCTCCAGCCTCTGCCAAAGAAGCACACAGGCTATGCCTGCACTTGGTGGCACCGGCTTCGCTTCTTCGCCCTTTCTATCCGTCCAGACCTGACGCTTCATGCGGTCCCCAGGACCCCGGGCCTTCTCTTCTCCGCGTCCCTCTGCTCCAAGCCACCCCAACTCTGACAGTCACCGGAACGAAATGGTTTTGCGTATGCTTCCTCCGAGTTCCTCTTTTCTGTTGTTTGTTTCTTCATTCGTTATTTTGTTTTTGTAAGAGATTTTCTTAAATGCCTGGAGACCCCTGTTTCCTCCACACAAGGAGGTGTGAAGCGCGCAGCAGGTGTGCGGGACCTTGGTGGGGACCCTGCCTGCGCACGGACAGCTCCGTCTCCCTGCCCTTCCGCCGCTCAGGGCCCCGTGGCGTTCTCTCCTGTGACGCCGGTTCCCCAGAGGACCCCCGCCCGCTGCACCCGCGCGTCTGGCTGTCAGGGCCCGGGCCAGGCGCGGGGCAGGGCGCTCTGCGCTCCTTGGGGTTCTGGAGGAGGGTTCCCGGACTGAACTGCGCGAGGAGCCAGCCTCTGCTCCCAGGACGGGAGCGGCCCCCTGCAATGGACTTGCTGCTCGAAGAGTCTGACGTTTCCCTACAGGCCCCTCGGCCCCACGCACGTGCCCGGCCCAGCCCGCAGGCCCGCTCAAAGGCGCCGGCGCCTCTCGTTCCTGAGACTTTGGAGCTTCCAGTTGTGAAAAGCTGCCTTTTTGATTTTTTTCTTTTTTCAACTTGAATTTTAATTTCCTTCTGCTTTTACCACTCATCTCTCGGCTGTCCAGCGTCCGAACCTGCTGCGTTAGCGTTTGCTCGTCGGCCGTCTCCTCTGTCCACGTGGTGGCATCTCCCCCGCCCTCCCCTGTCAGGCCAGCAGCGCGCCCTGCGCGCCGGGCCGCACGGGCTCCCTGGAAGTCCCAGATCTGCGCTGCCAGGGCTCCTCTTAACGGTGTTAGGCGTGTATTTCCTAGTGCTTCCTTTGTAACTCAAAAAAAATGATGGATCCCGGAGGACTGCAAGGATTCTAACACAGTCACCACTGAGGACCACAAGACTGACGAGGACATACGCTAAGCAATCAGGGAAACATGTCATGAGGAAGTTCGGGCAAGGGGGTGAGGACCACAGAATGCTTTCCCACACTAAGGGCTGACAGTCCGAAATTTATGTGAAAAGGGAGCCTATTAGGTGTCCTGAAAGACGCAGGCATACTTTGCCTTGTCCCAGCCTCATCTGTCTGTGGACCGCAGATATGGCTAGAGATGGACTCCTTGTCATAGGAGCGCAAGTTAACAGTACCTATTCAACAAAATAATAAAGCACCTCTTAAACATAATAACAGTAAAATGATACAAACAGAAGTTATAATTTTGTAAACTACCATTTTACTTAATTATACATTTATAGAAATTTAGGTTTAAAAAAAATACATCATGAAGACCACAAGTTGAGATGTGGTTCAGAATCACCGGGATGTTTTTAAAATACACAGGTTTCAGTCCCCACCCCCATAGATTCCGAATACAGTTTTCACGCATGCCTGCCTTTTAGTAAGTCTTCAGCCGATTCCAGTGCAGGCTGCCTGACCCAGCTGCCGTGTTTGGAAGCTGAGAAATTGAGACCATTTTAACAAAATTACATAGGATAAGGCATGCGTAATGCCAAAATGGTCTTGTTTGTGTGTATGTGAGACTCGTTTCATTCTAATCAACAGAAAACCCAAGTATCAGTGCAAACCACTTCAGAAAACCTGTGCTGACACTGTCTATGAGGCAACTAAACATATAATATGGCAAAGACCGTGTCAAGATATTTGTTTCTTTTTAGGAAAATTTTACGTCACGAGCATTTAGTGCTGAAAGATTAAAAATGATCAAATTAAAAAAAAATCTTCTAAGGTGAAAGGAAAAAATTTCTAGCAGAGATTTTAGACACTTACAGAGGATGTCCTATCCACCTCGCAGCGGCTGCTCAGAATAAAACAGGCCTCGGCGTCATCCATCCTGAATGCAGACAGAAAAACAAAATAATCGCACACCGAAACACCTGTGTAGTGTCTGAAAAGTTGGACTTCAATGTTTAGTCCAGTGCACACAAACTAAATGTAAACTCTGAGAATTCTTAAACTTAAATGGAAGTTCGACTTCAAGACCATGGCTGTATTGGACTATGAGTAAAATCATTGTTGAACTGGCTCTATAACTCAGGAGTTTATAATGATGGAAGCAAAAGACATCATGCGATGATTATATATCGTATTTCCTCATATACTGCGGACCTTGAATAATGCTGTTTCCTTTAATGTCATTCTGATAAGATTTCATAGGAACGTAACCCTTGTTTCTTATCAACCCGCCTATGATAAAAGTTGTACATCCTTACAACTCAAGGATAAATATGAAGATATATTTAAAACTTTAAAAGCAGCAGCCAACACCAAGCAAAGCCACGCCTGCTAGGAATCGCGTCTGGCTTCTGAAACTACGGATGTTGGGGGCAGACGCGCGGCCTCCCTGGCGTCCCAGCTCATCGCTGTCGCCCGAGCGAGCCAATCGCTACCATAGGCACTGTGTCGTGTGGCTACGGTCTCCGGCCACCTCTGCGCCAAGACACCACACTGATTTAGTGTTTTTTACCTTTCCAGTTGGCCAACACTGGGACTCCTGCAAAACTCTGTATTCAGAAGTCCTGTGGCTCATCAGGCAGCACAAAACAAAGCTAAACTCTGGAGGAGAGAAATGGCGTCAAGCACTGTCAGATGGAAAATGGGGGGTTGGGGGGGTACCTACTTTGCTCTCAGCAGGTCCTGATCTTTAAGGGCTGAACCCTGAAGGTAGATGACTCTTTGTGACCACATTGGGATCTGCAGCACCCTGCGAACTTGCACGTCCATTTCGGTAGGACACAAAATCACCACATAATAATCCTGTTCGGAACAAAGAGGGCGATGGAAGGGGAGCACTACCGCTCCGGTTATACTGCACAGGTGCGCAGAACATCAAAGAACATTCTGGAAGATAACGAACTAGACATGAAGTCTTGCTAATAAATAACCATTTGCATTTATAGCCCCAGCCTGCATTAAATAAAACAAGACTCTAAGAAACGTAACTGAGATGTATAAATCTCATAAATCAATACTTTTCCGTTCTGACCTTGTTCAATCTTATTAGTACTATGAAAAGAAGAGGGTTCGTGTTTGCAGTCAGCACACATTTCCAGTCTCTGAACTGCTCATCTTGACGCTAACTCTAAAATATACACAGCGTGTCAGGCAAAAAGCTTAGGTATAAATTCATACTTCAAACATTTCCTTGTGGAATAAAAACTGATGGTGATTTACATCATTTGGTAATATGATACAATGATAATATTGAAAATTTTCTGATATCAGAATGGATAAGGATTTACAAAAATATTGATAATGCTAACACAGTAATTAAAGAATTTGAGATCAAAAATTTCAAAATAATGGTCCTTTGGAGAAAATATAACGGTACCATTCATGATGAGATGGTTTAAAACAACTGATCTATGGGAATTACAAGTCTCTGGGAAGCAGTCCTCAGTTTATCACTAAAATATGTCTAGTGAACTTTTTTAGAGTTTTAAGAATTCTCCATATTGATTTTAGACTAATATCAATAAATTACCAGGGATCAGAATTTTCCTCCAAAGATTTTCTTTATAGGTTATAATGAATAAATCTGAAATTATTTAATATGAGAATAAAAACCCAACAAATAAATATGGAGCTTCTCCAAAAAATCCAAATTATATGAAAACAAAAGAATGTGTTATATAATTTAGGTATCACTTATAAATAAGATTTTTTAATATATAAAAATTATATTTAAAAGTTCTTTTAAGTATTCATGAAAAAAATCTATTTCAAGGCAAGGTAATTAGATATACTCAAGTACTGTTCTGATCTCAGAATTGTCCAGCTTTGTGACACAAATTTATTGAAGAAAAACAGGATACTCAAGTAGTTCTTTGCTATTTGGACTGAATTTAGTGGTTTAAGCAGCAAATATTGCCCACTTCACATTGGCCCAGAGCTGTGGCAGGCATAAGAAGTATCTGAGCATTTAATCTGCATCGACGAAGAGATTTTTCTTGAATTCATATCTTTAATTCAGCTAGTTATTGTCCAATTTTTGGTTATTTATTGCTACTATCAATATGACCTAGTTACACCCCAGAAAACAAAAGGAAAAAAAAGAGCTTCCAGACTTCTATGTGGCATTAGCGACACTTGATAAAACCGACGGGTTCAAGTGAGCAGATGATACTGAGATGACTTGCTCATTGTTTTATTATATGTTTAATTTCACTGTTTCATAAAAATATCATTTATGCATTATCCCAGGGAGAAAAACGTCAATCATTTTAATTCACAGAAACCTTTCTCTAGAGCATTGACAGAACTCCATCTGTCTTTTAGTGTAGATACAGAAGGAAGCTAAAATACTGTGTATTCCTTCGGCATTTTTCCTATGTTCCTGGTTACATTTGTACTTCTTCCTTTACACTCTCTCAAATTGATGCCGACCATGTGTTGGCAGGTCGGATCCGGTGCCACACACAGCGTAACTGACATGTACCTGCAGTCTTGGATGAGCATAGAATTCATTTAAAAAGTCCATGAGCAAGTCGATCTTCAGCGAGCTGACACAGAGAACCACATGTTTTTCCGTTTGGGCTCTGTGTCGACTGTAATTTCCACCGGACTTTTGCCTCTCCATCCACAGATAGGCCAGCTGTTCAAACTGGAGCACAGTTTTCACATGTGAAGGGAAAACACAGGACATGACAGTAACAGCCCGTGCCCCCCATCCCCGTTCATGGGGCGCGCTCAGTCCCCTCAGGCGGAACCCACGGAGCCCCCGACGGCCAGCACCCCTCCGGCCGCACCTCTGGCTGAGGCCGTGGAGGGCCCTGTGCCTCCAAAGGCTCCAGGCCTCTGCGGGAACGTAGCGGTGTGACTGTCCTAGGGAGGGGTGGCAGGGCGTTACGCCCAGGAGAGCGTGCAGCCACGACACGCCTCGCGCCGCTGAGTCCAGAGAAGAGCCCCCCCGGCCTTTCCCCCGCGCTCTCCTGTGCAGGGCGTCCCTGGCTCATGCATTCAGGGGGCCTCGCCACGGCGACACAGGCCCCTCCTGCACGGGAGGGAGCGTGTGTGGAAGGGGGCCGGGGTGTGGGCAGCGGTGGGAAGGTCATTTTTATACGTGCGTGAAGGATGTCTCGAGACCCTGGATGTCTCGAGACCCTGTGGCCAAAGTTGGCAATGGAAGGTACGAGTCTGATTTGTATTTGCCGTTTCCTGTTTCTAACCCGCCCACCCATGGATACCCCAAACTCCTCTGAAGGAATGATTCAAAGATTGTATCGATTTATCTTATGTCTCATTTTATATCTCTGTCCCTTTGTGAGCACCTTGTCCACTCCCCTAAATGCTACATAATAGTTATATATCCTCTTCAGGTTTTATTTTAGTTGACTAATATATGTAATCAATTTTTATTTATCATGATGTTTGGCTTTTCGATGGTTATAGGAGTCCAGAGAAATCAACCCTTCATAAGTGTGTTTCCTTGATCTATCATTCTATGATTAAAAACTATCATCCCATGATCCTCTCATAGACAAATGCCTGATACTGAAAAGAAACATCTTGAAAAGTTGAACTGAGATGTGAACTCTGACTTGAGTGAAGGGGAGAGCCCCTCCGTTTCTAATACAATGCAAAACTCCTGAGACAATTTTACTAAGTTGACTCCATGCAGTAATGGGATGCGTTAAGATATTAGACGACTACACCAGCCTACATTTTTTGTTCGGCGTGGAAGACTTGGCTTTGTAAGACTCACGTGCCTGTAACGTTTGCCGCGGCGACGTTTACCTGAATGGGCAGGACCACGAGGGCGACACAGATCATAGCGACGACGAAGAGCTTGGACGGCCACGTCTCCGGGGTGACGTCCCCGAAGCCCACCGTAGAGAAGGTCACGATGCAGAAATAAAGGGAGTCGAAGAGGTTCAGCTTCTTGCCTATTCGTTCCAGATGCTGGATCCCACAAATGCTGAAGACAGAAACGGGCGTTAAAATGTCAAGTGTCCGATTGGGCACATTATTTCTCATCCTTTTGTGTTTGAAAGTTGAAGCACGTTTCCTAACAGTTGGGATCTTACATGGTACATTTTCCCCCCTCGGGAAAATATAGTCATTACATTTTTTCATTACATTACATTAACCAGATGCAGTTTTAGTTTGAAGTTAAAAATGCTTCTTTAGGATAGATAGATACACAGCTTATTGCTACTCTATTATGTAAGTCTCGAGGCTAAGCCTGTTTTAGCACTGAAACAGCCCTGACCTGCATTATGCTTAGACGTGATTTTTCTCATGTATTAGCTCTTTTTCCCAGAACTGCAAGTGCTGCAGCATGCCATATGAGGAACCGAAGCTATTTCACAATTATAATCCATTTGAATATAGATCGCTATCTTACTTCATTCACAGATGTCCTTGGCGTCATTATTAAATGAAAACTGCCTCTTCTCCCTGACCACAATTGATGAACTTCAGTTAATTATTATTTTGTGTCTGTACCCAGAAGTGATTTTAATGATGGGCACAGATTTTCTGATAAACTAAATCCAAGAATGTGCTCAGATACAGCACATTCATGATCAAAATATCCTATTTTGTCTTATTTTAAAGGAGATGCATCTTTACAGTCAACACCAAGTTAAACCATTTAAATTATATCTTGTATTGAAAGTAGCAGAAGAATTTAATAAGGTAGAGATTAACATAATTATTTAATACATTATGTAAATTATATAATAAAATATCTTGTAGATTAATAAATTATATAAACATAGTAAGAGGTTAAAATATTATATAAAATAATTATAGCTGGTGGATATTAGTAAGCATTCTATTATCTTTAAATTTTATACTAATGAAAATTAATATTGTTTTGTGACTGAGCAGTAATATTTTTTAAAAGCTGACTTTAAATGCTTGATTTTAGTGGATACCTAATTGTAACAATATTTTTGTTGATTATCCTGTATCCTCTGCCTAAACATTTTAAATAATGTACTGCAATTTAAAATAGAAAAAAATTAGCCAATATCACATCGTGTTCTCTATTTAATTTTTTGTTTAGTTAATAGGCATAAAAGTTGCTCAGATTCATTTGTAGTGATTGACTTTGAGATGAAATGTAGCAAGTAAATAAAACTTTCTTTTAATTCCTCTATTATAAAAAATACCTGTAAATTTCAAATAAGAAAAAAAAAGCTTGCTATAAAATCAATAGGTACTAAAAATAATTTTACTTAAACTTTTCATAGTGGAAAATTGATAACCTAATATCATGCAGGGGTGTCCAGCCTTTTGGTGTCTCTGGGCCACACTGGAAGAAGAATTGTCTTGGGCCACACATTAAATACATTGCGACACATAATCACAAGAAAACCTCACACTGTCAAGTAAATGTACGATTCTGTGTTGGGCCCCATTCATAGCCATCCGGGGCAGCAGGCAGCTGGGGGCCAGGGGTTGGGCACCCGTGAGATCCTTACAAATCTTTATTCATACAAATCCATTTCCTAACGATTTTTTGTGCCAAGCATGGTGCCACATGTTGGAGGTGCGTGAGTGTGACACTTGTCTACATGTAAAGTGAAAGATTTTGACCTTGCCTTTATAACACTTCTACTAATAAGATCACAGATTAACCATCCAGCATTTAATTTATCACCCGAGTAATGCTAACTAAGATAATTACTTAAGCTTTTTAAACTTTCAGCTCCTCAACGGAAAATTAAAGGTACTATCAACTTCATGTGGTTACTACGCAAAATGCCAGACACATAACAATACTCAGTGAATGCAGGAACAGTTTTGTTACTTATTTTCCAGCCCTGCTTAAAAGAAAGATAAGCGCAAAATGAGTCAAACGGAAGGATCAAACATCTGCACAGAAAGATGACAGCCTTCCCTGTCAACCTGACGACCGAGTTGGGGACAGTGAGGAAGCGGGGTGTCTAGCCCTGTTTACGATGGATTTACTGGCAGTTATGAGCAGCAGGGAAAGTATCCAGGAATGAGGGGCTGCACCCCATCCAGGGTCTGGCCGAGCCGCTGTGGGCAGCGGCCGAGCCTGAGGAGGGCAGAAACGAGCGTTAGGCAACGTTCGATGTGAACCCGTAACCTTTACCTTTTAACAAAGACCTGTCCTGCTGACACCAGGCGACCTTTGGAGAGTCCACTGTCGTCATTTACTGAAACTGACAACTAATTCTTGGTAACAGTTGGGAAAAATGTCAATATCAGGCCAGTAACTTGCTATAAAAATAGCTACTTATCACCGAGATTGCTTGAAGGAATTTCTATTGTAATCATATGAAAACCTGCATATATGTATGTCATATATACATATAATTATGGTAACTACTAAGTATATCATTATATGGTAATATTTTAAGATTCAAATGTTAAAATAGTTATATTTGAGGGGAATAACTCCAATAGAATTTATCTTTTTATATTATTTTTACATACATACTTATACTTCACTTTATCATTTAAACAGGTATTTAATGTAACTTATGGATTTTTTATTCTATGACAGCTACAATGAAATAGATCTACTTTTTAGATATTCTGTGCATTTTTCAGATGCAGAGAATTCCTGCCAGGCACATACTTATGTTTTTTGCATAATTGTGGCTGGTTTCACAATACTGAGCTTGCAGTGGACTTCCAAAATGATTTCACTTAACCTTTTCTGCCTTAACATAAGCCATTTTTATCTGAGCACCTTTTGTGACAATGTTTATCTTAAGGATTACTGTCACCAAATACCAGCCGTTCAGGAGTTTTGTAGCCTGGTATGTTGGCAAGTCTTCCTGCCTGGGTGTGGACATGCATGTGAGCTGTGCAGAGCAGAGGACCAACGGCCAAGCAGCAAGCGTGTTCTTAAATGCACGCTCAGCGCTTGGCCATCCCCGATGTGCGCTAGGGACAGAGAGAACTGTCCTTGGCAACTTCAGATCATCTCCTACAATCAATGAGGATGACAGACTGGCTATGAAAGGAGAACCATTTGAAACAAATACAGCTTGGGAGGGGTATAACATTTTATTTGGTTTTCAATCAATGCTTGTTGATCTTCCCATATGACCTATAGATATCAGGGGATAAAGCCAACAATAATAATGGTGTAAGGTCAGGAATAGTAGGGAAATTTTGATGGTAGGGAGGGGTAAGAATTATTTCATTTTTGGATATGTTGACTCTGTCATTCCTATAAGTGATGTACATTCAATCCAATGCTATAATGTATTTTATGTATATAATATATATTTAATATATAAAAGTATCTATAAAATATATATTAAAAGTACATATATATGCACATACCTATAATGAGGCTTTCTTACACTCCTTGAGTAAACCCTACCTGGTGGTAATTTTGTTACAGTTCTAATATTTTCAATTCCAAAAGTAGTAATATTCACTTATTACAAGACAAATAATAAGTATGTAAATGAGAAGTTAATAATATCAACACACTCCTGTCTACCTTCAGGGTAATTGCTATTTAGTTAAGTCTTTTTTTCTGCTTGTTTGCTATTTGGTTTTTAATGAAAGTGCAGTTTTGACTTTTATTGGCAATTTATTGCTATAGGATTTTTATAGCCATCTTTTTAAAGGGACCTTGGTCTATAATGTTATATCTCAAGATACTTTCCTTGAAAAGACGATTTGGCAGAAGTTGTTAACCAGACACAAGGTTCTGTAATCAAATACATTTTGCAACTCTGAGTTAAGCATATTTTATTTAGCAAAGACTTTTCAGATATTTTTAATGAGTTTATGTTTATTATAGTTCTAAGAGTGGAATTTTTATAGGATTAACCAAATGTAGCTGCCAAAGTTCTTAGTTTGGGTAGAGTGTCTCAGAGGATTAGGGTTTTATGAACTGAATGCTGAGAACATTAGCTCATATTCTGTGCTTTGTCTGAGTATGTTAGAACCACAGTGTAGCTTAATTATTAAATGATGTGGGTAGCGTTTCACCTTTGTCCACGCCCTAGATTAAACTGCCTTAGATTAACTGTTCCCTGAAGAAATTTCATAGTGGAACTGTCAGGCCCAAAAGTTTTATTTTTTTTAAAGGAGATGAAAAGATATAATTTTAAAACGCCATCTCTACCCTTAATCTCAATTTAATATTGCTTAAAAACCCACACATGCATTTTGGAGTGACCTGCTATTCCATCCATAGATTCACAAGAATCGTATGTCCCACTCCTCATTCTTTGGTGTTTACGGACTCCCTGCAAACCTGGACTTCGAGCACAGTTAACGAAGGACAGTTTATGAAGACAGCCCACAGCAACCCTCCTGAGCCCTGGTAAGCATCCAAGCAGCGTCTCCTCCCTGCTCACAGAGAAGCTGAGAGGAGAGAACAACTTTTTTCATAAGCACTGCAATTATTTAAAACGTGGACCACCAAACTGAATGTGCCATATGGAAAGGAAGACTTCAAATTGTTTCTCATTTAAAAATTTTTTAATTCTACTTTTTTTGTTAACTGGAATACTGTTAAATGTCGGAAAAGATAATTTTAGTTAAAGAAACTATGCTAACACATGCAGAAATCATAACAACGTTTATTTTAAAAGAATTATGGCCCACTTTTGCACTAAATCCATAGAGCCATGATGTAGATCATACCAAGCATTTAATTTCCAATTATCCTTAGAAATAAAAGGACTAATATAAAATGAAATTTATTCCTTCAGTCTCATTTTAACGATACACTCCTCCATGTAGAAGAGCTCACATCTTAATTTACAGATTTTAAAATCCACTTCTTTATTCTTTCCCTCACCTAGTGAGAAAAGATCACCAGAGAGAAATTATCTAAGACCGCACCATCATTAACAGGGCGCTGAGTGTTCTTTCTCATCTCAAATACTCCGATAAAAGCGCGTCGACATTATCCTTTGCCAGTCCTATAGAATATATTTCTCCTAACAAAATTATATTAGATTAATT